CGTGCAATCCCCGCTCGAGCAGACCTCCTAAAAACTGAACAACAAGGAATTGAAACCAAGGCCTAACCAACCTGTAACAACCCCGCTCAAAACATCCTAAAACTCAATCAAGTGGAATTAAAGGACGACAACAAGATAGATACCACTACCAACTTCACGGAACCGAGTCCAGAATACAGGGATCGCTATATCATGAGTGAAGAGAGATCCCATTAACTCATCTAGACTTAGCTTTGATAAATCCTTGGCTTCGATAATGGTAATGACTTTTGTCTCCCAACTTTTTGGCAATGATCTAAGCACTTTTCTTACAATTTCATCATTAGTACATATTTTTCCAAGAGAAGTTAAACCATTAATAATATCAGTAAAGCGAGTAAACATTTAATGAATAGTCTCATTAGGTTTCATTTTAAAGAGTTCATAATTATGGACTAGCAAACTGACTCTAGATTCTTTAACTTGTTCGGTTCTCTCATGAGTCACTATAAGCTTGTCCCAAATTTCTTTTGAGGTTTTACACATGGAAATTCTGTTGAACTCGTTGGCATCTAAGGCACAGTACAACATGTTTGTGGCTTTGACATTAATTTGGGCCATTCTAGTATCTGATTCATCCCACTCATCTTTAAGTTTTGGTACCCTAAGTCCATCTACGGTTTTGGTAGGAATTTTTAGACTGTTGCAAATAATTTTTCAGCATTCATAATCATTAGATTGAACATGTATGGTCATCCTAGTTTTCCAATAACTAAAATTTGTGCCGCTAAATAGTGGTGGCCTATTGGATGCTTGTCCCTTGGGTAAAGAATAATTAGGGGTTGCCATGATCTACTCTAAGACGGTTAAGTCACACAACTAGAGTTTAGGCTCTGATACCAATTGTTATCCCAGATAGGCAACCCAAGAGGGGGGTGAATTGGGTTACTAAAAATTTCACAATATTAAAATTAACACAATATTCAGAATTCTAATAAATAAAAAAAAACAGAATAATAATTATCAATATAAAAGTAAGAGAGATAGGGAGAGAAAATCAAACACTACGATTTATAGTGGTTCGGCACGCCAGGCCTACGTCCACTCCCCAAGGAACCTCCTTGAGAATTTTTTTACTATTAATTGAATAAATACACCACCAAGCTTGCGGATTTGGCACAAGACTTACTTTTACCTATTGAGCCTCACTCAACAATAAATGCCTACCCTTACAAAATCTCTTACAAAAATAAGGAATAAGAATAAGTGGTACTTAAACCCTCTTTTACAATAATTCTCTCACAAAAAGTAGATATGAAAGTGTAAGAACAAATGCTAGACTTAGATCTGAAAGTGAAAGAGCAGAATACAATTTGGAGCTCACAGAACCTCTTTGAGAATTTTTTTACTATCAATTGAATAAATACACTACCAAACTTGTGGATTTGGTACAGGACTTACTCTTATCTATTGAGCCTCACTCAATAATAAAAGCCTTACCCTTACAAAATCTCTCACAAAAATAAGAAATAAGAATAAGTGGTACTTAAACCCTCTTTTATAATAATTCTCTCACAAATAGTAGATATGAAAGTGTAAGAACAAAGACTAGACTTAGATCTGAAAGTGAAAGAGCAGAATACAATTTGGAGCTCACAGAAAATTTTCTCTTCAAGTTCTTGATTTTTCTCCACACACAACACTTCTATTTATACACAAAAATATACCTGTTAGACGCTCCTTGCTGACGTCATGGATGACATTAGTTTGGAAGAGAATTACGTGTAAGAAAATTTGCACTCTTACAAATTTGAATATCTTTAGGTATTAGTCAAAAGTGTACAAAAAGGAAAAGAAAAATTAATTTGTGCACTCTTGCAAATTTGAACATCTTTAGATATTAGTTAAAGGTGTACAAAAAAGAAAAAGAAAAATTAATTTGAATTATATCTTGTATGACTTTTCACATACTAATAATTAATGTTTTCATATACTAATATTCAATGTTTCTACACACTAATATATATGATACAATTAATGTTGTGTAAAAAAAATATAATTGCTCCGTGATGTATACTATTTGTATTATATGCATTATATATATATAATATTCTAATCAAATATTTGCATACATAGAAAAATTTCTTTAAATCATATTTATGATGGATCTGAATATATATGTCCTCTTTAAAATATTGTATATGTTGTAGAGATTTTAAACTAAATATATCTTACTACTCCGTATTAATTTTGTCAAAACAAGACAATCCATCAATATCAAATTTGTCAAAATAATACAATCCATCAATCATTTTTGTCAAAATAATATAATTAATCAATTTTTAATTTGGTCAAAAAGTGAATAGTGATCAACCTAAATTTTCAAAAAGTGAATAGTAAAGTTTTAAAAAATATTTTTATTTAACTAATATTTAACAAATATATATATTTTAAAAAGATAATATTTTGTGTCAAATAAATATGTACATTAAAAAAATCTAAATTGTTGCAAATAATACTTTAGACATCATCAAAATTAAATAATATGATTAACAGGATCCCTACTGGACTTTATGTTTGTCGCACTCGAATTTTTTTGTCCATGCTATTCGAGATGAATTGTTACGACCCACTTCCTGCACCCAAGAATTAAGCATCGTGATGGCCAGTAACTCAAGTTACCTCCGGCCAATTCTTAAACAAATTACTAAATGCGAGCGGAAAAAAAATATTTAAGTAAGGGTACCAAAATAATCATTGGAGTTTCTATTTTTATAACAAAATTTATCGACCAAAAAGACCGATATTTACATATGAAGAATAGAATGATAATTACTATAAAAGTGTTGTGTGTCTATTCCGCAGCCCCGCGTCTAAGACTCTTCAAAAGTTATTTCTGAATTGCCTTATTTCCTAAAAATTGGTAAAGAGCTATAAACATATGGCAGAGTGAGAAATATTATACTAAGAGTATAACGGCATAAAATCACCATGGATAATTATTGGCTAAACCAAGCTTTATTTTAAAATACATAGTATATAATACAAAGATCATTTGACATATAATACAGAAATAAAATAATTATAACCACGGTACAACATGGAACAGAACAGATGTATGGACTCAAGAAGTGGCTCGTACGAACTCTAGAGATGGCTCCCACCATAGTGTAGCACTTAGCTTCGTACAGCATTTTGCTCCACACCAGAAATCATAACCACGGTACAGAACAGAACAGATGCATGGACTCAAGAGGTGGCTCCCATAATAGTGTAGTACTTAGTTCCGTACAATACTTTGCTTCACACAAAATATCATAACCACGGTACAGAACAGAACAGATGTATGGACTCAAGAGGTGGCTCGTACGAATTCTAGATGTGGCTCCCACAATAGTGTAGCACTTAGTTTCGTATAACACTTTGCTCTATACCAAAAATTAGAGTGTTAGTGGATCCATGAGAGACAGAAGGTCACAAAGTGACTAATCAGAGGGCCAATGGTTATTTAAGTCCCCTAATGCACGGGACCTCCATAATGGTACTTATAAAATAATTACTCAAACACATTTTAATAAACAGTTATATTTAGAGTTTTCCTTATTACATAAAATAAGGTTCATAAATTAGAAATGCTAATATAATTTATAAAATACAAATTGCGTAAAATAAATTATGATAATTTAAAACATACGTAAAACATATAATGGTAACTTAAGGTATAATATAACTCACCTTAATATTAATTTTATTGTTTACCTTTCGTTCACTGTGACCTACTAAAAATTTCAAACTAAACTCAAAATCTAATATATAAAAAACACTAAAGAGGAGAGAGAGAGAGAGAGAGAGAGAGAGAGAGAGAGAGAGAGCGAGCTTGGAATTGGTGATGATGCATACGGTGAACATCCCTATATACAGGGGAGGAGGCGTGCTCAACAAGTGAATTGGAGGCACGCTTCCTTGTTGTACATAAAATGTTACGGTTTAGTATATTTTGATTTAGGAAAAATATAGAGAAAAATAAAATAAAAATATCATAACACATAAAAAACATTATTAAATAATAATATAAAATTAAAATTATTTTTTTGAAATCATTTCTAATTAATAATACTAATATAAAATTTAAGGGACAACTTAAATTTTTGGTTTGTTACATGAATGAGGACTTTATGCGACGAAAGGAATTCAATCCAATAGTTGAAACTCAAACTGTAGGATTTTAAATAAAAATTCGGAGTCATCACCTAACATAAAATTCAGGTGTGCTAGGTCACTTAGAATTCCCAATCTTATTTTGGAAACATATTTTACAACAATTTGAATTTGATAGTGACTTTCATTTTGGTCTTGAAAAATCTAGAGATGAGTTCAAGGGTTTATTGTTACGGGTAGGGAAGGTGTTAGGCACCCTACACCGCCCTTACGGTACTGTGTTTCCAAATCTATTGCTTGTTTCCATTTTTCAAAATACACTTTTCAGAAAATTCTGCTTTCTAATTTTTCATGTTTTTTTGTTTTTACTGAATTTTTTTAATATTTTAAGCAATTTTTATTTTTATTTTTTAGACACACCTAACATAAATACACCTAAAAAGTAAAAAAATTGTAAAAAAAATCTTTTAAAAATTCACTAAATACCAAAAATATAATTTTTTTTACAAGAATTCAATACATTTTTTGTATTTTTATGTATTTATTAATTTTTTCAATTTTGTTATTTTTATTTTTTAGATACATCTAAGTAAGGTGCATCTAAAAAGTAAAAAAAATGTTTAAAATTTTAAAAATATTCACTAAAAACAAAAAAACACGAAAACTAAAAAACTCAGTTTTCAAAAAACTTAATCCAGAAAACTCACACCAAACACACTGATTGATTTTTTTTGTGGATGGATTTACCTTTGAAAATATTTATGATAATAAAAATAAAATTCAAAATTTTAATACGGAAAAATGGTTAGCGAAATTAATGGTAAATTGTTTACATACTCATGCACATACGTGTATATATATATATATATATTTCCGTCGATCGATCGTCTACGGCACCATCACCGGCGTCTCCATCTCTCTCCTCGACATTCAAACTCAACTCGCACATTTTTTCTCTCTAGAATCAATTTCTCACTCCTCATTTGTCCATATTCAAAGTAAGTGTTTTTCTACTCTCTCTCTCTCTCTCTCTCTCTCTCTCTATATATATATATATATATAAACGCATATGCCAATTGTATTGACGAAGATTCGATAAGCCTGATGGGGCACAAGAAGCGAAATGTCGCTCCTCGCTCCAAATCATCGCCGTCGTGTGCGCCTCCGTCGCCGGCGTTTTCGTGCGGTGGTGGCGGATCATTCGATGATGTTCCATGCTCAATCGATACCGAGCAAAACCTATTCTCGAATTCTTTGATTGAGCACGAGAAACAACAGCAGAGTAAGATCGAGGCGTCCTCGGTTGTTGAATTGGCAGCTTCGTCTTACTCTGCAATCAAGCTCGAATGCGAGCGAGCTCTCACGGCGCTCCGCCGTGGCAACCACACAAAAGCCCTAAGACTTATGAAGGAGATGTGCCTCAAACACGAAAACTCGGTTCTCTCGGCTCTGATTCACAGAGTTCAAGGGTCTGTGTGTGTCAAGGTTGCTTCGATTATCGATGATCCCAATGCGAAACAGCGGCATTTGAAGAATGCAATTGAGTCTGCTCGGAAAGCAGTCTCCTTGTCGCCGAACTCGGTTGAGTTTGCGCATTTTTATGCCAATTTGCTGTGTGACGCGGCGAATGATGGGAGGGAGTACGAAGAGGTGGTGCAGGAGTGTGAAAGGGCGTTGGCAATCGAGAATCCAGTTGATCCAGCGAAGGAAAGCTTGCAGGATGAGAGCCAGCAGAAGATATCAACCGCTGATGCGCGGATTGAGCACGTGCAGAATGAACTTAGGGTACTAATTCAAAAATCCAACATAGCGTCGATTTCGACTTGGATGAAAAATCTCGGGAATGGGGAAGAGAAATTTAGGTTGATTCCTATAAGGAGGGTTTCGGAGGATCCGATGGAGGTCAAGTTGGTGCAAGCGAGGCGACCAAATGAGATCAAGAAGGCAACTAAGACTCCTGAAGAAAGAAGGAAGGAGATTGAAGTTAGGGTTGCTGCTGCGAGGCTGCTGCAGCAGAAGTCAGAGTCACTGCAATCGCAAAATGATGATGGTAAGGCTTTAGACTCGTCGTCTGGGTCTTCTCAGAGGGCCGGCGAGCGGCGGAAGTACGGAAATATGAGGAAGAGTGCATCCTCAGCAGAGAGAAGGGACTTGGTAAGGTCATATTGGAATTCAATGGGTTTGGATATGCAGAAAGACTTGCTCAGAATTAGAATTTCTGAAATTAAGGCACATTTTAGTTCCTCAAAAGATAATTTGGCAAATGAAGTCCTCTCAGAAGCTATATCATTTGCTGAAGCCAATAAAACATGGAAGTTCTGGATGTGCTGCCGCTGCAGTGAGAGATTTTCTGACTCTGAGTCGCACATGCAGCATGTTTTGCAGGAGCACATGGGAAATCTCTTGCCCAAAATGCAGTCCATTTTGCCTCAAAATGTTGACAATGAATGGATTGAGATGCTTCTTAACTTTTCTTGGAAACCATTAGATGTCAATGCAGCAGTTAGAATGCTTGAAACCAAATTGAAACCCCAAGGTCCTGAACTTCCTGGTGAATCATACTCTAGGACTGATACAGAGGAGTGTAAAGACTGCGTCACTGACAATTATTGTTCTGAAGAGGCATGGGATTTGTCCCCTCAAAGGGGGGGGAGGTTTGGGGATAGTTGTAATGGGGAAACTGTGGAGAGCAAAAGCTACGATAAGGTTTCTGACAGTATGTGGCGAGAAGGTGATGAGAATCAGGGTGGTAAGGCATATTTCCTACCTGATTGTTGGCCATTGTCGGATGACACTGAGCGTGCAAAGCTCCTTGAGAAAATCCATGACATATTTCAGGTGCTTATTAGACATAAATACCTTGCTGCAACTCATGTTACCAAAGTAATACAATATACAGTGGGTGAGCTTCAGGGTCTTGCCTCTGGTTCGCAGCTTCTCAACTATGGTGTTGACCAAACACCCACATGCATCTGCTTTCTGGGAGCTTCTGAGCTTAAGAAAGTCCTAAAATACTTGCAGGAGTTATCTCATTCTTGTGGCATAGGTAGATATTCTGAGAAGAGTAGTACCATTGATGATTCCAACAACACTGGCGCTCGAGGGGCTGAAATCACAGAGAAAATAATTCTCAATGAAGATGGATCCTGTCTCCTTTTGGATGAGCAGTTCCTGCCCTCAGATGATGCAGCTGGACCAACTTTCTCTAATGCTGGCTATGGACATAGGGTGCTACTTGATGCTGATGCATTGTTGTCGTGGATATTCAGTGGTTCCACAACTGGGGAACAATTGGCATTGTGGACACAAATGAGAGAAGAGAAAGCACAAGAAGGGATGGAAATTATCCAAACACTTGAGAAGGAATTTTACCACCTACAGAGCATGTATGAGAGGAAATGTGAGCATTTGAGTTATGAAGAAGCTGTGCAGGCTGTGGAGGATCTTTGTCTTGAAGAAGGAAAGAAAAGGGAGAATGTCTCAGAATTTGTGCATCAAAGTTACGAATCTGTCTTAAGAAAGCGGCGAGAGGAGCTTATTGAAAGTGACAATGATGTTATGTTTATTAGCAATAGGTTTGAGGTGGATGCCATATCAAATATTCTGAAAGAGGCAGAGGCTCTGAATGTCAATCAGTTTGGATTTGAGGAAACTTATAGTGGTGTGACTTCTCATCTATGTGACTTGGAAGCTGTTGAAGATAGTGACTGGAGAACGAAGGACTATCTGCATCAAGTGGACTCTTGTGTAGAGGTTGCAATCCAGAAGCAGAAAGAACAGTTGGCTACAGAGGTTGGTTATGTTTAGTTCTAGAAGTTTTTTGGTGAAAAAAAGGTGACACATCCTTGCTGCACTATCTCACTTGTTCAGTCATGCAGCTCAGCAAACTCGATGCGAGAATGATGCGAAATCTTACTGGAATGCAGCAGATGGAAGTTAAGCTGGAGCTCGTATCAACCTATGATTATCGATCAATATTAGTGCCTCTTGTGAAGTCATTTATGGGGGTTTGTATTGGGTTTGTCGCCCTTTTTATGATATTCCTGACAACTTCTGGATGCTTTATTTATTTACTCATTTGTCATTTATTTTATGGACAAAGCCTTTTCTAGACTAGAATTTGTGTTTTCTGGTGTTAATCTCTTTTCTCCAGGCACGTGTGGAGGATCTGGCCCAAAAAGATGCCACTGAGAAATCTGATGCTGCAAGAGAAGCATTTTTAGCTGAACTTGCACTTGACTCTACAAAAGGCACTGGTGGAGGAAGTGATAATTTGAAACATGTACATGAGAAAGCAAGGGATAAGAAAAAGAACAAGGAGCTCCGAAAAACAAAGGATTCAAAGATTAGACTGTCGGTCAGGCTTTTCTCTTTCTTCATCTTGTTCTTCCTTTGTTAAAAATGCAGGAACTAGGGCTAATCGTTTCTTATCTTTACAGGGTACTGGTGATAATGAGCTTATGCTTGACCTTGAGACTGAAGAATGGGTGTATGTCTCTCTCTTTCTCTCTCTTGCCCATAATGCTCATTTCACACATTGCTATTTTCCAAGGCATTCCTTTTTATTAAGAATGTGGACACTTGGCATAGTTCAATTGCAACTTCTTCAAATGTCTCTTATCTGCAGCTCATTTCCAGTTGCATCCGACGTAGATAATCCAGATTCAGAAATTATTTCCACAAGTGGCGATGCCTTAAAACAAGAGGATGAGGAATTTAGACGTAGAATTGAACTTGAAGCAGAGGAAAGAAAGCTTGAAGAAACTCTGGAGTATCAGAGACGAATTGAAGACGAGGCTAAACAGAAACACCTTGCTGAACAACATAAGAAAACTACTAGAACAATTCCAGAGAAGCACGATGATGTTGATCAATATGTACATGAGCAATTGAAAGACTCTAAGCAGGTGAACATTCTCTTGCTGAAATTCTCAGTAGTTGAAATGATGTAGAAGTTGGCCTTTCCTGTTCTCAAGTTATGTTTCTGTTCATAACTAGAATTTTGAATCAACTAACCTGGTAAATATCTTAGAATTTTGAATGGGCGGGATTCCAATCCTTTTCCATTGATTTTGAATTAACGTAATTTTTGGGTCATGATAAAAGAGAAACTTACGTACTTGCAAGTTTCTAGGATCCCATGACCCAGAGAAATGGATTCCCCAATGGTTTAGAAGGTGCATTTGTGAACACTATTGCTAGAGCTGCTGGAAGAATTGGTAATACTCACGCTCACCATCCTACAAAAGTTAAGGAAGGTTAGCAATTATTTTTCACAGCTTCAGAGTTTGATGGGACAAATTCAATTTTTAGAGCTCTTGCCATCATTCCTTTTCTTGTGCAGGGTTACCTACTGGAGGAATTCCAAAGGATGGCCTTTTGTCTTCTGATCAGTGGACAGGAAGGAAAGGTAGACGTCAGAAGAATTCTGCCAAGTTGCTTGACACAAAGTATCAAGCTGTGTCAACTAAGAAAGAAAATATTGAAGTTCGACAAGATAGAGTTAAGGACGGTCTGCATGGTGACAGCAGTAAGTTTCACTCAGTTTTTTGCTATAGAGCCAAACTTGTTCTTTACATTTTACTCATTAATCAAATAGTGTTTTCCAATGACAATTGGCATTGCTCAAATTTTACTTTTTATTTACAATTGTTCTTGATTTGGTTGTATGGTTGTCCAAAAGAGTATAGGGTGCACTCCCAAAAGTTTGTATTTAGTCCTGAAATCAGCATGGTACAATCAGCAAACCATTACAGCATTTATTGCTCTGTCATTTTTAATTTTTGGAATGTAAGGATGAAATTGAAAATTGAACATAAACACATTATGGACATGGCAACTTTGGAGAGTTTGATGATAACTTTGCATGTTTCATGCTTAGTCTTATGTCTTTCACACTGCTGGTCCCAAGCCCAGAGAAAGGAGGGGGGTTATGATACGTAAAGAGCCAGTGTAGACATCACCACATATTAACATGAATTCAGACCTGGTCAGGATTTTAATGTAGTATGCAACTCTAGATGGGATGAACGACAAAAAGGGATTCATGTTGCCAACTTGCCACCCAACTAGTTGGTTCAACACTTTCTTCAGTTTGACTTGAGGCCTGTTAGATGATATCAGCTGTATTACAAAACTTACTGTACAGGGAGCAAATATTCTGGCGAAGCCCGTACTTCTTTCTACCAAACTCCGTGTCTATCCGATCGTCCTGCGAACACAACGGCGGTGAGCTACTCGGCGGTGTGTGGCCGGAAAACCTCTCCGATGGTCAAGTTAGCACACACTTAGGGATAGAGAGAGAGAGGAGAGAGTTCAGTGTTTAGTATATCTCACCAAATGATCATCTGCCTCAGCATGGGGGGCGCAGACACGCTTATATACCTTCTGCGTCCCAAATCTACTCCTATTAGTCTTTCGACACGCGGTGCTGCTATCCCATCTGTCAGCACAAATCCAGCAATCACCACCTAACAAACTGTTAGGATATCTTGGTGGAGCCCGGCAGACTGGCGGAACCACCCCGGCTTCTTATGACCGCGCTGCACGGCGTACCTGAGTGATCCACTCGCCGAGCCCCAGAACGACCGAGCTTGGTTGCATTCCGGCAAGCCGAGCTCGAGGTAGGTCGAACCGGTTAGCTGTAGGCCTTCCTGCCGAGCTGAACGCACGAACCGTGGAATCCGGAATGGCAGGTAGTCATCTCGGCCGAGCAACTTCAAGTAGCCCGGTTTCTACACAATGAGCCCAAGTAGCTCGGCCCAACATGGCCCTGTGCCTTAACCAAGCAAAACCTCTTTGGACAAGCCCAAGATACCGCGGCCCAAACGTGTTCGGCACTCAACTTGCCCGGCCTTTGCCATGGCCCATTTCAGCTCATAAAATCTCCCTCTCAGTTGCCCCTTAATTCCGTCTGCAAAAGCGTGACTAGGATTACATGATCCGACCAGGGTAGACCCTTCCTCGGTCTTCAGTTTGCAAGACGACAACCGGGCTAGTTGATACGACTGGCTTCCAAACTTTCCCGGTCGACACCTCGACTTGCCATCTTGTCTCTTCAGTACTGACGCCACCGCCTCAGACAACAACATCCTTCCATTTATTGGCCTCGAGCAGCCAACCCAGACGTCCCTTCACATTCGAAA